CACTCCAGTCTGGGCGACAGAGTGAGACTCCAACTCAAAAAACAAACAAACAAAAAACAATCATAGCCGGGCGTGGTGGCACACACCTGTAGTTCCAGCTACTTGGAAGGCTGAGACTGAAGGATCACCTGAGCCCAGCAGGTCTAGGCTGCGGTGGCTGTGAGTGTGCCACTGCACTTCAGCCTGGGCGAGTGAGAGTCCGACTGAAAAATAAATAAATAAAATCAAAAGCAATCAAAAGATGACCTGAGGCCAGGCTTGGTGGCTCAGCCTGTAATCCTAGTGCTTTGGAAGGCCAAGGTGAGCAGATTGCCTGAGCCCGCGGGTTTGAGACCCGCCTGGGCAGCTTGGCGAGACCTCACCTCTACAATAAATTAAAAAATTAGCCAGGTGTGGTAGCACGCACCTGTAGTTCCAGCTACTTGGAAGTCTGAGGCAGAAGGATCGCTGGAGCCCAGCAGGCGAGGCTGCGGTGGCTGGGAGCGGCCACTGCACTCCAGTCTAGGTGACAGAGTGAGACTCCAACTCAAAAACAAAAAAACAAAAAAAGATGACCTGAATTCAGGGGGTCGAGACCAGCCTGAGCAACATAACAAGACCTCGTCTCTACAATAAATCAAAAAAGTAGCTGGGCATGGTGGCACATGCCTGTGGTTCCAGCTACTTGGAAGGCTGAGGTGGAAGGATCACCTGAGCCCAACAGGTTGAAGCTGTGGTGGCTGTGAGCATGCTCCTGCTCTCCAGCCTTGGCAACAGAGTGAGACTCCAACTCAAAAAAACAAAAACAAAAAAAATCAATCAAAACAGAATGGAAGATATAAGCGTGTGCTGTATGTTGTCAGCATTGTTTTGTGAACCCTCTATTGCCGTTATGCCTACATGTCTGCATGTCCTAAGTTATGATATAAAATGTTTTTCTTACTGTGCTTCATGGTGAAAGGGTTTGGAAGCTCCTGAATATTGGACAGTTACAAGACCCTGGCTCCATTCTAAGCACCCTACATGCATTAACTCATTGAATCCTACAACCCTATGAGGCTAGTGCTGTTACAGCCTCCATCTTACAGATGAGGACACTGAAGCACACATAGGTTCAGTAGTTTGTCCAGGTCCTGCCCCTGAAAGGACCTGTCTTGGCTCTAGACCACTGCCTCCTCTTCCAGTCCCCAGGGACCAGCCTGCTAAGGTAGGTATTGAAGGACAAGTTGTAGGCTCAAACCTGGCAGTGCTGCTGGTTGGCGGCTCCCAGCCACAGCTATACGAAGACGTGCCCACACGATGGCGCTGTGGCTCTTGCAGCCACCCCTGCAGTGGCCGAAAGCCGGGCTGGACACAGCCCCGGAGCGCAGGCTCCTGCATGCCGCAGGGCTGG